TGATTTTATATCATTTCTTTATTTGTGTTCCTCAGTAATCATGTTTTAACTGAAGACATCATATTTCGGGAAGTCACTCCGGACAGCTGTCTGATCTCCAGACGTCTCCTGACCAAAACAAGCAGAGCTCCTCGCTGGGCGGAGAAGTTTCTGCCTGCTCACATGGCACGGAAGGCTTACATCATTGAGGACTCTGTAGTGGATCCTCGGGGCAGGACCATGACCACTCTCACCTGGAACATCAGCCACGCTCGTGTGATGGTGGGCCGCCATCCCTCCTCCTGTCTCACAGAGCTGACAAGAACACCTGCAAAGACAATTGCACCCCAAAATCTATAGAGAATAAGGATTTATATTTGTCACAAAAACTAATTAAACCTATTTTTAGGACCGTTAATGTGTTGTGTATTCTGACAGTATTTTTATGACAGTAAGCACTTTGTCTTCCAAACGTAGTGGATTAAAACATGTAATGGATAGTAAAAAAAATAAAATAAAATTACAGTTTTTTAGGGGGTATTTGGTGACGTGCTCAAAATCAGAATTAAAAAGAGGGACACAGTGGCCAAAGTGGGGCTTTAAATGGGATTAATTTAAAGACACTTCTCTTTTTCTTAACTAAAGCACAGCATGCGGAAAATTGCAGACGAAAGATTAATAATATTTCACCTGCTGGCACTTGAATATGGCATGGAAGCAAAATAATGACACATGTATTTGAAGCAAAATAGCATGACGTTGAATCGCACTAATTAAAAAAGAAATAATGCATTGCATTAACAGTGCTTGCATTTTAATGCATTGCATTTTTAGTGCAATTCAACATGCTTTTTGTTTCAAATACAGTTACTTCTATAATATAGTTATTTGGATAGTAAAAAAAATTTAATAAAATTACAGTTTTTTAGGGGGTATTTGGTGACGTGCTCAAAATCAGAATTAAAAAAAGGGACACAGTGGCCAAAGTGGGGCTTTAAATGGGATTAATTTAAAGACACTTCTCTTTTTCTTAACTAAAGCACAGCATGCGGAAAATTGCAGACGAAAGATTAATAATATTTCACCTGCTGGCACTTGAATATGGCATGGAAGCAAAATAATGACACATGTATTTGAAGCAAAATAGCATGACGTTGAATCGCACTAATTAAAAAAGAAATAATGCATTGCATTAACAGTGCTTGCATTTTAATGCATTGCATTTTTAGTGCAATTCAACATGCTTTTTGTTTCAAATACAGTTACTTCTATAATATAGTTATTTTGTATGATTTCCTGGACTGGCTATGATTAATTATCAACTGGCCTGACTAGACATGAACTATGAGAGGTTAACTATGTGTTTTCTGTGTGTAGAGTATTGAAGAGCGTTGTGTGTACAGAGTGAACCCTGACAACAACAGCTGGACCGAGATCAAGAGAGAGGCCTGGATCTCCTCCAAACTGTACGGCCTCTCTAGAGCGATTCAGGTCAGCGGGTGACAGGACGTCTAAACAACACCTGGTTATGTTGATCTCAAAGAAAGTTTTATTACAGTAGTGTGTGTGATCTGTTTAAATACATTTGAATAACATTCTGCAGCCTGGATCGTTGCGTTGATGCTGAAGATCATGCGGGGTGTTTATAGCTAACGGCTGTTTAGTCTGCAGTTAAATTACCTCACTGGAACTTCCACAACACTTGGCAGCAAGGAGTGTTTTTCATAGCGCTTTACGTCTTTCTATCCCATTTTCAGGAATTTGGTCTTGCCCGGTTTAAGAGCAGCGTTACAAAGACCATGAAAGGCTTTGAGTACGTCCTGGCCAAGATGCAAGGTAAGATGCCAGCTAGAGTTCAAGCGTGCAGTAGCAGCTTAATGGTTTAATTCATTTAGTTGTAAACATGGACGGCTAAGCTGGATCTCATTACTGCACAGGTGAAATGCCCACACGTACTCTGGCAGAAACCGCAACTGTGAAGGCACGCGAGACCGCACTCGCCGCCAAGGAGAAGGCGAAAGATTTAGCCTCTCAGGCTCAGAAGAAGCAGTATGTATGATGAGTCCAGTGTCCGGACTCTCCCAGCACTTCTGAAAAGGGCCATGCCATGCCATCACACAGGACACAGACGTGGATGTGAGACGCATTTAGCCAGGAGCTGAGATGATCAAATCGTGCCTGTCTGGATTCTCAGAATGCATTTAGTGAAGCCCATGTGCTCTTCGACTGAAATTCTCCAGTAAACTTGATTTGATACAGCAGAATCCTCCACCTGCTCCCGATTTTACATGAGGTGTTTGCAATTTTTTCGATTGCTAAATTAATTTCTCTGATTTTGTTGTTGTATTTCAAACATGGCCTCTCTGAATCTTCATATTCAGACTTACTGAGGTCTGTAATCTGCCTTGTTTAGCAATGTGATTCGTCGCTTCAAAATGAAGTTCTATCTGCATTGATGGGTCCACGGTTCCAGCAGTCACTGCCGGCATGATATCTAGAGTTCTGCAGAGGAGTCTGATCTCTGGCACGTGAGAGCATATGCCAGAAAGTATCGCAAGTATTGATGGATGGCAATGTCCGATTACAAGTGTGAAAGTTGTCAAAATGTACAATGTTGAGTGTCTGAAAGAAGAAATGCATTCGTTTAATGAAACGGTATTGCTTATGTAATGATTTATAGCTCTTAATTGTTCATGACCAGCAGGTATTAACAATAAATATTTTCTATCTGACATATGGTTCTCTTGTTTTTTTTTTGTTTTTTTTCTCATTTCATTTGCACTGTGATCACTGTTGAATAGGAGAGAGAACACCATTTTAAGCAGATCAAGTAAATCTCATACCACTTACATTTTCTAGAGAAATGAAACCAAGCATGGCATTTAAATAGGCCAACATGTTCTCACTGGGTCTGATATGACTGAATACTAGGCTATGTCATGTCAAGATGTCTAGACTACTATATTACAATCAAGCTCCCCAGTTGCAAATAAATAACGTATGCAAAATCATAGTGACAAGTCAGATTAAATACGTAAAATATTTATTTGTACAAAAGGCTTATGTTGGTAAAAGAATAAAATGCTACATATGAATACAAGGAGAGACATAAATACAAAGGTGCTCCTGGTCCAATGACATACGAATAGTTCTTAAGGCATTTGGTGTTCAGAACTGTATATACAATGAACATTTTGCTGTGTACATTAACAGTTACTGTACAAACATCTAAAAACAAAAGCATGTTCATAATAGTCTGCATAAATGACTGATATGAGCAGATACTGAACAGTTTGCAAATACAGCCCATGTATTTTGTCAATACTACCAACATACTGAATTGCAGTAAAAAAAAAAAAGAAAAGTAAAACTTTCACATGAGCAGACTAACACATTTTAGGGGAAAAGGGATTAAACTGCTGAAAATCCACTGTACAAATAAAAATGTACTATGTTCTGTTTTTCAGGCTTCTTGCTTAGGGCTCAACATAAGAGCTTGTTGTTGGGTGTTTTAATAATAGCACCAACTTTGATTCTCTGAAGTGAACCAAAGCACAATAAAAAGTACATAAAAATGAAACATCACGATGATGCTGATAGTAGTTCAATAACAATCATTTCAAACCCAACTGTACCTTTACCCAATAGCAAATAACAAGTGCATGGCTGTAAAGGAAAGCAGCCTTTTCCTATGAATTGCAGCACCACAACCTTTGAATTAGCTTCCCCAGTTTTTCAATTAGAAAAAAAATTGCAATATTAAAAGGGGGGGAAAAAAAGCATTGACAATCTGCAATTTCACACATTAGCAAACTTGAAAGAAATAACACACCTAAAGAGACATCACAAGTACTCATGCGTATGCTTTGTGCAATGTATCAAAACTCAACTTTTAAAACAGAATTAAATAAGCTGGATATTAAATATTTAAGTGCAAGCCATGTGTACTGCAGGCTGACCCTAAAGTTAAGCTCATTAGCCGGATAGAAGACAACTAACGGGTGCAATGTGACCGTAACTAATCCAGAAAAAAACAATCATTCTGTGGAAATAAAGCATCACCAAAATTGTTACACTTGAATCTCAGGAGTGTATAGACCAATTATAGGTTTGTAAACATTCAGGATGCGCGCGCATCATGGTTGCAGAAAACCCGGGAGAGATGGCCTTTACGGCTAGAGAATTTCACGGATAGGGTACAAAATAGTTAGGTTTAAAAAGATTATAAATTATATTGATTAGATGTCATTTTCAAAATGTTCTCCTTTTTTGTGGGCGGAGCCTATCTGGAGGCAGAAAATGACGGTTTTCAAGCAGCAGTCTATGGAGCCATGGAATAAAAGAATAGGTCAATTTGATTTTACATTTCAAAATTCGGACTTTATTCTCGCAATTCCGAGATTATATCTCACAATTCTAATAAGGAAAAACAACTCGTCATTCTCTCTTTCCCCCTCGACTCTTCTGGCTTTTTTCCCTCGGATTCGACAAACTCACTATTTTTGAGTTAAGTCGAGTTATAAAGTCCGAATTAGGAGATATAAACTTGCATTTGCGAGAAAAAAAGTCAGAATTGTGAGATAAAATAAATGTTATGTAAAAATGTTAATAGTAAGGTTTAAATAAAATTTCTAATAGTATTAAGGTTTAAATAATATTTCATGCTGTAACTGTAGGGCTAATACAATACGTCCCCTATGAACAGCATATGTGAATATTATGTAGACCTACTGTTTAAATCGAATTTATGCTTTAAAAGTAGAGTAATCATAACAGTTTTCATCCATAGTATGTCCATTTAAACGTCTGTGTTTAGTTTCAAATGGCGTCTTTGAGGACAGTATTCTATAAAAATTATTTGCATTCCGATCTTAATATCAAAAGGCACAAAAATATTTTTTTCTTTTATTCCATGGATTTTACCCATTTATCTCCACTTGTTCCCAGTGTTTTTCTGCAACCACTATGCGCGGCGCAGCTGCAAGTGACGTAACTGTGACATCTACTCTGAATTGGTCTATAGCATACTAGAGCACCATAATGCCATTAGTGTAAAGAATACACTACACAAAATAAATTCCAGTCATGCTTAGTTGGTCTGATGGTTTCAGAGTGGCAGCAACATAAGGCTGTTCTGTGATGATGATGATGGTAAAGCCCATCAAATGTTTGCGGAGTCCCCCATCCACTTCATACCGTTCTGTGATGTTTGTAGATCTGGGACGGTCATAACCAGGTGTGAACAGAGGTAGAGTAGCTGTGGTCCACCCCAGCATGTGATGAGCCCAGACCATCTGACTCCAGAGTCCACACCATGCTCTCCACATCGATCTCAACGTCCTCTGCAATTTTCAAGCAAATATGATCAACAACTCATGTGACTACTCTACCACCCATATATAATAGTCAGAATAATCGTAAAAAATAAACGGTTTATTAAACCTTCAGTAAAGCTTTCATTTAAAAAGTGTTTGCATATGTGACCCTGGACCACAAAACCAGTCTCAAGTCGCTGAGGTTGCTATTTGTAGCAATAGCCAAAAATACATTTTATGGGTCAAAATTATTGATTTTTCTTTTATGCCAAAAATCATTAGGATATTAAGTAAAGATCATGTTCTATAAAGATATTTAGTAAATTTCCTACCGTAAATATATCAAAACTTAATTTGTGATTAGTAATATGCATTGCTAAGAACTTCATTTGGACAACTTTAAAGGCGATTTTCTCAATATTTTGATGTTTTTTGCACCCTCAGATTCCAGATTTTCAAATAGTTGCATCTCGGCCAAATATCGTCCTATCCTAACAATCCTCCAAAGCTTATTTATTCAGCTTTTGGATTATGTATAAATCTCAGTTTCGGAAAAAAAAAACACCCTTATGACTGGTTTTGTGGTCCAGGGTCATATATGTGTTTTTAAATTAAATAGTTGTAACCAAGTTAAACCAGTTACTGATCAGAATAATAATAGAATAGAAATATTTGAACTCTAAAAGCTCATATTAATCTCACAGAAACTCGAATTTAGGAATATTAACATCTCGGCCGTCTGATGATCACCTCTCTCAGAGTCGGATCTCTCGGAGGACACAGCTGAGCCAAGGCTGTCGTTACGCATCCTCTCTGAACCGCCCTGCAGTTTCTCCAGCCGTGTGCGCAGTTCTCTCTGCTCCCAGCGCAGACGATCCTTCAGCAGCTCTGCACGCTCGTCCTGTTCCTGCAGCTTCTGCAAGCGCACATGAAGACCCACCTTTAAACCTTCTGCTGTGCATCTCATCAAATCTCACTGCATCACCAGGATCAGAACGACTTGCTTCACATCTCTCTGATTGATTAATTAGGTTAGCTCCTTTCCTTGCTGGCAGACAAAAACATTTGTAAACCATTTACAGTAAATGTTCTGTTGCAATTTATGCATTTAATATTTAAGCATTTGTCTAAAATTGGACATCAGTCTTGTAATAGCAATCCACCAAATGGCGGTATCTTGTGGGTGCTGCAAGAATTGCATGCAAGGCTGCCATTACAGCACTGCATATGAGGGAAATCAAGAGTATTCATACAGTAACTTGCTTTGATTTTAATAAACTTTATTCAATCTAACAGCCATTCATACACAAATGAGATGTGTTACATAAATACTTGATATAGTTTAAGCTTGTCATTAAGAAACAGAAGCAAACTCACGGAGTTTGTTTGTTTGTTTGTGTTTAACGCCATTCCAGCTTCTGTGGCTATTTTCATGGAGAGAAATATTATGGCTGAATTGTATCATGTTTTTAGAATTTATTTTTGCTAAAAACTCCAAAACTGTATTTGGCTTAACTCTTAAAAATCTCTTCAAAAGAGTTAACTGAATAAAAAAAAGTTCTCTCAATGAGTTAAAACCAGCACAATCTAATAAAACATCCTTCAAGGATAAAGGGATTCGGCAGAGAGAACATGTTGGAGGATCTTCCCCTAGTATTAAAAACGTGCGTGTCATCCTGGAATGACCTATTCTACAGCGGGTATAAACAATCTGTTTTTTTTCTAACCCATCGGTTAGAAAATTGATAGAAAATTATTTTCCCAACATTGGGACTAATTTCATGGAGTTTATTCATTGTATATAGATCCCACTAGGGCTGTCAATGGCTGAAAAACAAAATTCGAATCTTGTACTTATATCGAATTATATTCGAATATAAAACCCATAATTTCAGTTAGGGTGAAGAAAAGCTTTTGGCTTCTCTCCTGAGGCCAAAAGAGGGCGCATCAATCAAAATATTACTAATGCACGTTTATTCAAAGCAAAAGATAACATGACTATCTGTGAAAAAAGTGCATAATGTTTAAAATAATGTTTATAAACCAATTATAATTAAGTTGCTTAAACAGAACAGAACAGCATCATGTATGTATGCATAGTTTAATACAAAGGGTCGAAAGCCAATCACACAGAGTACATTTTTCATTTAAAAACACGAGATGCAGTGAGATGGGGGAAAAACCCCGCCATAAAGCCTCGAGATTTTTATTTTTTTTCAAAGTTAAACTTGCATTAATTTTACATGGTTTTCTAAGCCTGCGGCTCTTTTGTGCGAGATGCGAGTGCAACGGTGATAGATGTCCCTCTAGAAAATGCACGAAATATGCATTCTGTGTGAACGTCTTGGTTTCAGTTTTGACGTAAATAAGATCTTCTCCGTATTGATGTTCGCTTTTTCCGCAATATTTTTAATGAACAACGCAGCAGCGCCAGGTACAGCACAAATTTTCAGATCTGCCAATAGTGCTTCTTTTGCCAAACTCACCGAGTAACACAGTGGAAATCAAACATCAAAAGATGTAACTTTACTTTTCATTAACAATGGAAAAGGGCCTTGAATGCATGTTGGGAATAAAACAGTTTGATTGAACTCCATGTCTAATGCCTATGCTCATCATTATTTTTTATAAAGCTGCCGGGTTATTGCTCAGGGATGTTCCACCAGAATGGCCACTGTATATACTTTTTAATCAGATCCGCCAAAAGTCCCTAAATTATATTAACACTATTTACCATTTATTTCACTAATAATTATCATTTACTTACTTAAAACTCTGTGGAAATTAATTTGCGGTCTCCTTTTTTGCCTAAAAGCATAGAAATTCAAAAGGCAAAATACACATATTACACAATAAATGCATTTAAACATTTTTTAGGTAACAAACACTAAGAGTGTTGATGAGATGTGCTGCCAGATAACTAACTCTAAAACACTAAACATAGCCCTGTCAGCAGGTGTTTCACAACCTATTCTAAACTACAACAAAATTCTGATAGCATGCCATTTTAAAAAAAAATAATTTCCAGACCTTTCCATAATTACTCAGCTGAAATAGTTGTCTTTTTTCTGTAGACTAATAAACAACAAATAATCCGATTTCTATTTATTTATTTATTTTTACTTCTGTATTATCATCACTCTTAACATTTTGGTAATCTGGTCAATCTGGCTCACCTTGATGTGCAGCTGTGCTTGTCTGAGCAGATTGAGGGTTGTGTTTCTAGCTGAATCCGAGGACAGAGGAACCTGCCGCTTCAGCTGCTCCAAACAATGTTTTAACTGAGCTCTCCTACAATCACAAACACACGCAGCAACATAACATTTAACTACATGCAAACCACAAAGACACCCTTCATTTCCCTCCATCTTAAATTTGTAATATAATTAATTATACAACCATTAGTTCTAGTACTCAAATTTGATTGGCTAAACGGAGTTCCAATAGCACTCGGACTTTTCCCTATGTTGTCAATGTTCATGCATTACAGACCAGAGTATGTGAGCATAACATTTTAAAGCTTGGTGCTTTTTTTAATTTGGCAAAATCTGTCTAAAAATTAAAGTTACTCAACAGCAACTCTTTATCAAACTGTTGCAGAAAGCAATATCTCACTCCCACACTGATGGGACTGAATTACTGAAAAACTGTACTAATATGTAGACCAATAGCACAATTGCAATATTGCTGAATTGAAGGACAGAATGCAAAAATAAAACTTAGTTACCTGTGTTTCTCCAACTCATTGTGAACAGACCTGAAACAAAGAACAAACAGCTTTATTTAGCCATAACATTCGTTCATATTAAATTCTCACTCATTTTTTTTTGTATAAGATATGTGTGGATAAGCATTTTGTAGACATTACCATCTAGTTAGATTGACCTACAGTTAAAAGTACTTAATATAATCAATTCAGCACTTAATATTTTGGGACACTTAATATTTGGCAATATTATTGACTTGACTGCACAGACACTACTGATGAGAACTGGGGCCAGTTGCATAAACGGTTTAGACTAGTCTTAAAAAGCTAGTCATCTAATTTTTTTTCTTCAAGACTGGTAATCACTTTTTAAATTCAGTTATGAAAAGGTAGATTGGTCTTATTTGTATTGGAAAAGTAAGACAACTGCTAGTTGGTCAAAGCAACAGTCTATGCAACTGGCCCCTGGACTGAGCTGGATGATGACATGCTTCATAGAAAAAAAAATGAACTCATTCCATAACTGATGAACGTTACAGAGTTCTTAAATTGAACTGAATCAAGAATGAACTGACTTTAACTGAAAAACAGACAGTTTACTATAGTGAGTAAATAATGATAATCTAACACTTCAAGTTGTCTAAATGGAAGCAAATGCCTTTCATTCATTCATTCATTTGCTTAAAAAAACATCAAAAGCGGAGGATCGTTGTAGAATAAAATTAAATATTTTCTGAATAACAAGAATCTCGCTAATCAGTGTTTTAGAACAGTGTTCCCCAACCGGGGTGCCGTGGCACCCTTCTGTCGAGAGCAGGGGTGCCGTGTAAAAAAATTATTTTTAAATATTTTTAAGTTGCTAAAATGTTCAAAAAAAGCATATATTATATAATATCCATTTCTGATGTCGCCAATAGGCCTGTTGCAATAATCAATGTTGGGAAACACTGTTTTAGAAGATGCACAGAGCTGTACAATAACAAAACAACACCTTACACTCACCTGCTGCTCCCAGGCGAATGACTCTTTGATTTCTGCTTTTTTCTCTTATCTGTAACTCCTTTACTGTAGAATGGAAGCACTGAGGCATAACCGTGCTCGGCCTCTGAAAATGTATAAAACATAACATGAGTGATTAACAGCCCAGCCTACTTCCTTTTATATACGACCCTTATATACAAGCTAAAAATAAGTTATTTTGGACATCTACAGAAACATCGGACATATGACCGTTGCCTGATTATACATCTAAAAAGACAAATATTAATGTTCTGCTATACCAGATACAGGAAACATCTGCTATATGTCAGCGTCTCATCAAATCAGCTGTATGCGAGACCGCTTTCTGGTTTTGGCGCCATCGAACGATTTGGCAATTTTGAAATCAAAGCTTTCCACTGTAACTATGTATCCAGTACTTTACGTGACGTCTTTGTTGAACCGCGGTAACTGTAGCAGAATAACTGCCAGCGCTGCTACATTTTCAAATCTATGACGATTTCGCGCCTTTGTGTACAATACAGAACTGAAATGTAGGTCAGCGAGCCAAACACGACAACATCAACAACAAAAGCGATGTTCACCACTCTACAGACACACAAACAAACCTCTGCAAAAAAAGAAGACACACCCAGTGCCCACATGAGGAAATAAATAATACAAACATTAATGAATGTGTGCAAAACACAAGCAAACAGCACTGTCCAAAACGGCTTCGGTTTCAGTGCAAACAATGTGAAAGAAATAACGCGTCTAATACCTCTTTCCCTCCGCTCCAAATATTCAGCTGCCTGCAGAAGCACTTGAATGTTGCATGTATTTACCTCCATTTCTTTGACAAACAATGTTATATTGAAAGCACCAAGAGAGCGACACTGATCTATTGAAGTGTAGAGGAGACTTCACTTCGGCTGATCCAGCTCGCCACGTCATACGCGTCAGACGCGTCGCGTCACGCCACGCCACGCCCTCCTCCGCGCTGACGCGGCCGCTCCCTTCAACAGACACAAAAACAACTCGCGTTAGTATTTGCGCTTACCTATTGATGGGAGCTTTAATTAAAGAAGAGGACAACTTACACTATATGAGATTTAAATATTATTTTATCCCAGCCCGTAAACCGCAGTAAAGATAGTTTGCGGTTTGATATTCAGATTTCTT